GACTGTTTGGCATCATCAAATGTTGTGATTTACCTATGATGTGGGGATTTTGTAACTGTTAGTAGACTGGAATTTAATTGTTGACACTTTGGGACCAGGTTGTTATTGAACCTTCATATGGGAAAAAGGTTGAACATAATGGTGTAAAAATTGAGCTTCTTGGTCAAATAGGTGTGTTTCCTTTCTTTTTCTTTGTTGTATAAATGTGGGATTGTTATCTTTAAATTCAATAATCACTATTACTGATGGTAGTACCCATAATTGCATCTAATTTTTAATTATGTGTTTTCTGTAACTTCAAATGAAAAATAAAGTGTTTTAGCTTGGATTACTACAACAATTATGTCTATATTCTTTTATTTACTGTTCTGTTTATCATGATATGAACTTGTGGTTGAATCTATATGTATCATTCAGGATATCTAACAAAAGATGTTAGATTAGAATCCTTCTACCCTGAACTCCTCACTATTCATACTATGGCTACAGAACATAGCCTCTAAATGTTATCAAGTAGAATACTATAAAGTTTTGAATTCATGGATATTGTTGGTGTTAGATATGATTAGATATTAGTTGATATTGTTTGATATTGTTGAGATATTGTTAGATATTGTTAATCACAATATCAAATAATATCTTTTTATTTACCCTATTTGTATTCTGTTACTCTTTTGAGGAGTACCTTTCTTTATTATAAATACACTGCCCTATGTGTGGTAAATACATAAGGGGAAATTAACCCTATACAGTTTTTCCCTATATTCAACATGGTATCAGAGCTTAAGGTCTCTTGGGATTTTTTTCGGCTCTGCCACTGAACCTGCAGTTGTCGCCGCCTCCATCGTCGCCGCCGTCGCCACCGCCGTCCGCCGCCGCCGCCGTCGCCAGAGTAGCAGTTCGGACCGCCGAGCACAGGGTTTTGCTCGCCTCCTCCGTGCGACCTCCACCGTGGAAGTTTCGCGGTCATCGGAGCAGCCACGCTCCCTCACGCGCCTCCCGAAGTCGCGCCACCTTCTCCCGTTCTGCCGCGCGTGGCGGCACGTCTCGCCGCCGTTCAGGCCGCCGATCTTTGCGCCGGCGTCGCCTCCTTCTCCTCTCTCTGGATCTGTCCTCGCTGCTCCAATCGGACCTCTTTGGTGTTTTAGGGTTTTTCTCTCTCTTCCTCCATGGCATCTTCCGCTGCCACTTCGTCTGTACCTTCAGACAAATCTGCTATCTTCAATGATTTTCTTCAATGGTATGGGGATCGAAAGCCCTCCAGTTCCACTACTTCTGTTGCCCACACAGGTACATCTTTCGCTGGTCTGACTCACTCTTCTTCTATTGGCCCTTGGGTTCTTGACTCAGGTGCCACCGATCACATCACTGGTAACAAATCCTTATTTTCCTCTTTCACTTCTTCTCATAATTTACCCTCTGTTACAATGGCTAATGGGTCTACAACTTTAGCTCATGGTGTTGGTACGGTTACTCTTTTTCCCTCGTTGTCCATTGATAATGTTTTGTATGTACCCGGGTCCCCCTTTAACTTATTTTCCATTAGCCGTCTAACCCGATCTCTTGATTGTGTTATCTCTTTTACCAAAACTTCTATTTCCCTACAGGACCGGAGCTCGCAAAGAGTGATTGGCACCGGATGTGAGTCACATGGACTTTATTATCTTCAACCTTCTCCACATGTTGGCACAGTTATGGAGTCTCCTTCTCTCCTTCATGCTCAGCTTGGTCACCCCAGTCTGCGCAAATTACAACAACTTGTTCCCAGCTTATCCCAGTTGTCCAATTTGGTGTGTGAGTCCTATCAGTTAGGCAAACATAGTCGTACTTCCTTTTCTCGTAGTGTTTCTCAGCGTGCTTCATCCCCCTTTGCCTTAGTTCACTCTGACATTTGGGGACCCAGTCGTGTTAAGTCTAATTTAGGTTTTCAATATTTTGTTACTTTTATTGATGATTTCTCTCGTTGTACTTGGTTATTTTTAATGAAAAATCGTTCTGAGTTGTTTTCTATATTCCAAAACTTTTATCATGAAATTAAAAATCAATTTGGTGTCTCTATTCAAACTTTTCGAAGTGATAATGGCCGTGAATATCTTTTAAACTCGTTTAAACAATTTATGGCTTCTCATGGCATTCTTCATCAAACTTCCTGTGCTTATACCCCTCAACAAAATGGGGTGGCTGAGCGCAAGAATAGACACCTTATTGAAACAACCCATACTCTTTTAATTCATGGTGAGGTTCGTCAACATTTTTAGGGTGATGCTGTTCTTACTGCCTGTTATCTTATTAATCGTATGCCCTCTTCGGTTTTAGATGACAAAATTCCCCATTCTATTTTATTTCCTCATGACACTCTCCATCCTTTACCTCTGAAGGTTTTTGGGTCTACCTGTTTTGTCCACAATTTTGATCCTGGTCATGATAAGTTATCTCCTCGATCACACAAATGTGTTTTCTTAGGATTTACTCGATCCCAAAAAGGATACAAGTGTTTTTCTCCTTCTCTTAATCGCTATTTTGTGTCTGCCGATGTCACCTTCAATGAGTTTTCCTTTTACTTTAAGGACCCTTCCCTACCTGCTGAGTCTCCATCTGCTACAGTTCCCATTCCTGTTCTCATTGATCCTTATGTTGAGGACCATCCACCATTAGCCCCTCCTCCTCCACCACCCCTTCAGGTTTATAGTCGCAGACCTCGCCCACAACAGACGCCACATGACTCACTCCCAGTGCCAAATACTCTGCCTCCTCCGGTTCCGTCCATAGAGTCTGACCTTCCTATTGCCCTTCGTAAAGGTACGCGTTCTACTCATAATCCTTCTCCACATTATACCTGCTTTAAGTTATCATCGAATTTCTTCACCATTTTATACCTGTCTCTCGTCTATTTCTTACTGTGTCTATTCCTAAATCTGTCTCTGAAGCCTTAGCCCACCCTGGTTGGCGTCGGGCCATGCTAGATGAACTCGGTGCTCTTCGGACTAGTGGAACCTGGACGCTTGTCCCATTACCATCTGGAAAATCTGTTGTTGGTTGCAGGTGGGTCTTCGCTATCAAGGTTGGTCCTGATGGTACTATTGATCGCCTCAAAGCTCGCCTTGTAGCCAAAGGCTATACCCAAATTTTTGGGTTGGATTATGGTGATACTTTCTCTCCAGTGGCAAAGATGGCTTCTGTTCGTTTATTCATTGCCATGGCTGCTATTCAACAATGGCCTCTTTATCAACTGGATGTCAAAAATGCTTTCTTGAATGGCAATTTGCAAGAAGAGATTTATATGGAGCAACCTCCGGATTTGTTGCTCGGGGGAGTCTTCGGATTGGTATGTCGTCTTCGCAAATCTTTATATGGCCTAAAACAGTCTCCTAGGGCCTGGTTTGGAAAATTTAGCAGCGTTGTTCAATAATTTGGCATGACTAGAAGTGAGGCAGACCACTCAGTCTTTTACCGTCACTCGAATGCTGGATGTATCTATTTGATAGTGTATGTTGATGACATTGTGATTACAGGTAGTGACCATCATGGCATCTCTCAGATGAAACAACACCTTTGCCACCATTTTCAAACCAAAGATATTGGCAAACTCAGATATTTCTTGGGTATTGAGGTAGCACAATCTACCGATGGCATTGTTATATCTCAAAGAATGTATGCATTGGATATTTTGGAGGAAACTGGGTTGATGAATTCAAAGCCTGTTGACACACCCATGGATCCTAATACCAAACTCTTGCCAAATCAGGGGGAGCCAATGTCAGATCCTGAACAGTATAGAAGATTAGTTGGAAAATTAAATTATCTTACAGTTACTCGCCCTGACATTTCCTTTGCAGTCAGTGTGGTGAGTCAATTCCTCAACTCTCCTTGTCAAGATCATTGGAATGCAGTCATCCGTATATTGAAGTACATCAAAAAGTCTCCTGGAAAAGGTTTGGTGTATGACTCCCATAATCATACAAGAGTTGTCTGCTATTCGGATGCTGATTGGGCAGGATCTCCCTCTGATAGAAGATCTACATCTGGGTATTGTGTTTCCATTGGTGGTAACTTGATCTCATGGAAAAGTAAGAAACAAAGTGTTGTGGCAAGATCCAGTGCAGAAGCAGAGTATAGAGTTATGGCCTCAGCTACCTGTGAACTTATTTGGCTCAAGCAATTGCTTAAAGAGCTACAATTTGGAGATGTCACTCAAATGACACTAGTGTGGGACAATCAGGCTGCTCTCCATATAAGCTCTAATCCTGTCTTTCATGAGAGGACTAAACACATTGAGATTGACTGCCATTTTATTCGGGAAAAGATTATGTCTGGAGACATCAAGACTGAGTTCGTTAACTCATGTGATCAATTAGCAGATATTTTCACTAAGTCTTTACGGGGACCTAGGATGGATTATCTTTGTACCAAGCTAGGCACATACGATTTGTATGCTCCAGCTTGAGGGGAAGTGTTAGATATGATTAGATATTAGTTGATATTGTTTGATATTGTTGAGATATTGTTAGATATTGTTAATCACAATATCAAATAATATCTTTTTATTTACCCTATTTGTATTCTGTTACTCTTTTGAGGAGTACCTTTCTTTATTATAAATACACTGCCCTATGTGTGGTAAATACATAAGGGAAAATTAACTGAAAGTATACCTCGAGAGCATATATTTCATTGATTGAGAGGCAAAATATATACAAGTGAATACACTGACCGTTACATGACATTAGGAGAGAAATAAGCTAAATCTCTAGAAATTAGGCAAGTATGTCTCCTATATTAAGTAGGTATCCCAATTTAAGCTAATTACAATATTTGACAATAATTACAATCATATCAGATTCTTGATTGTGTAACATTAACCCTATACAGTTTTTCCCTATATTCAACAGTTGGTATATGGAATTAATTTTGTGTACAATGATTTCAGTGGGGGCATTATTTTTCAGTATTTTTGTATATATAATGAATGGAACTCCATTAGTTAATTTCCTTCCTTGCAGAGTTGTATTTTGATAGGGGCAACTTCTATGACTTTACTTCTATTGGTAAGTTTAAGCTTATACAACTAAGATATTTCATTTTTTGTCTTTTACTTTCCATTTTCGTTTGAAGAAGTGTTTGAATAATTAGTTAATTACGTATTTGCTTCTCTTACTTGTAAATTATAGTACATGGTACATCTAAATAATCTTTATATTTAGAAGTTCCAATACAATATCTGTTTTGTTTCTTGAACTCTTCTAAGCTCCCCGCTCTCTCGTGGGGGGCATTAATATGCTTTGGTGTAATATTGTTAGAGTTTCTATTATAATTCTCCTTAATTTTTAACTCTCTATAACTTATGTGCAGTACGTGAACTCGATGTTCCTGGCAATTTATATGAAAGGAAAACATATCCATTCGAATTCTCCACTGTTGAAATGCAGTATGAATCATACAATGGAATCAATGTTAGGCTTAGGTATGATAGTTATATCACTTCTACCCTATCCTCATATTCTCAATTTCTCTATGTTGTTTCATTGTTTTTCTTCAATAAATATGTTACGGAATAATTAGGTTTTCTAATATGAATTTTTAAAAGGCATGCAGAAAATGTTATAAAGCTAATGGCTCATCATCTAAACCATTTAGTTCAAGGTTCCCATCTGACTATGCCAATGGATTTGGTGTTATGGATGGTTCTAACTGTTCACCTTTTTCATATTTCAATCAGTATTGTCATTAGCCAAAATATTAAAGGTGGTAAGAAATTAACATAATGGTTACTTAGTTGGATGCAATAGATCCTTTTTTGGCCATCATGCAGGTACATATTGAAAGTGACAATTAGCCGAAATTATGTCAACAACATTGTGGAATACATGGATTTTGTGGTGAGTTGATTTTTTACTATATAATCATGATTTTCAAAGCCTGTATGCTACATATTCCCATTATTTTGATTATCATACAATTTATTTGTGGTTTAAGTTGTTCTTGATTTCATGTTTAAATCAAGAGAAAGCAAACGGTAAGATGACCTAAATGATAGTAATCATATTCAATAGTAACTGTCTCACCTATTGAGTCTCAAAGTACACTAAATGCACTCTAGTACTACTAACTGTATTCGTTTTAAGACGTGAATGTGAAAATTCTAGAAACTAAATTTGTGGTAGAGCCAATATTTTGATAGAGTTCTTAATAGAATTTTTCTGAGACAATGGAAAAAAGATTAGAAAATAGAAGGAAGGAGAAGGAGAACATGTTTGATATTAGACCGCATTAAAAAGGCCACCTGCTTTACATCAAATGGAAGCCAGACATCTAATCCTATCCAATATATATCATTAAGTCATTGCTAAGAATAGAGTTTTGCTCCAACAAAATTCACTAAGCTATAAAATGATTTTTCCTCTTAAATTATGAATTTATGACCATGCCACTAAATTGATTACACTTTTATTTTCCCAACTTCTGAAACTCGTTTCTTTCTGTAAGATCAAAATATTTGTGAAAGGTTATGCGGCGTCATCATTTATTTGTCCTTATATATAGATAATTATTGTGAGCTATGAAAATTTCAGTTAAGGGAATCCTTTTTCAGAGTAGAAGTGTGATAAGTTACTTGAGTTTATGTAATTTGTTAATATCTAAATTTTACTGGAATTTTGAAAATTATTTTGGTTGGATTGCCTTATTTCCTGATGTACTAATAATTTCTGTTATATTCTCATTCTTTTAAATGTTAGTCTTCTTCTGTACTGCTTGTAGAAATAAAATTGGAATTAATACTCAAATCTAAGAAACCTGTACTCCTAATTAGTTTTCCATATTGATCACAATACTCCAAATTAATTTGGTAATTGATTACACTACAACTAATATAATCTGGAAAGGTCAAGTTATGTAAAGGCATACATGGTTTTGTACTTTTGTAACATCTCTAACAGTAGTTTTATATGTTTGAAAGTACGAGTTCTAATTTATATTAAAAAGAGGGAGAGAAGGAAGGGAGAAATAGATTATCAGTTTTTTTATTCTTTTTTTTTATTGGATAACCATTCTTTATTGTGATTTAGCTTTTCTTCCTTTCCAAATACTTCTCGCACTTCTGTTTGTTGTATATTATAGAACTAAACCCACCCATGTATTGGATTTGTATAGTACAAAGTATAACAGAGGATCTTTTGTCACAAACCTGAACAGTCCAAAATATTGTTTCTTGCTTGATCTTGACAAGACCCTACATTTATTTTATATGCTGATTGTTGTAGTAATTACTTTATGTATTTCTTTCTATCTGTCAATTTCAGGTTAATGCAGAATATAACTTTTTTATCTTTCCCAAAGTAAAGGTTTTTTTTTTCCTGCCATCACTTTTCAGGTACGCAATTACACTGCAGCTCCAACAATTAATAACAGCATTAAGGTCAGGAGTTATGGATGGTAGTTATCAATAACGACGTATAACTAATTGCCAATGTGCCTCGTTAATTCTATATATAATTCAAGCTTTATGTCTCTAACAGACAATGTACTCGAAAGTTTTGTTGTCCACACTACATTTGTATCTAGTTGAAGCTCCATGCTTGATCATGTTAAACTTGTATTTTCCATTCATGCTATAAGATATAAATGCCTCAGGATATGTTTGGATAAACTTCACCTTATGTACTTTCAGGAAAAGAAAATAAGGAAAAAGAAATAAGCTTATCCATAACTAACACTAGTATATGTATAATTTAATTTGAAAAAAACTCTCATTTAACCTCTCCAAAATCAGAATTTTAACTAATGCAAAACCTAGTATTCGTTTATTAAGAAGTTTATTTAACTTTTTTCTTGGGAGTGCTTATGAAAAAGTTTACCAAAACCGACTCTTAATCAATATTGTCATGCACAGGTCAGTTTCTACTTTTAGTGTTTGCCTTTTGAACTCGGGTTATTGAGGAAGTTGATTTTTAGTTCACAAGTAATGTGGTTGTTAATATAATGGTATACTCTAATAAGAATTGAGAGTACTTAATATTAGCTTAGCTTTTTGTTGTGTCTGTACTCCATGCAGATGGAAGTAGGAATTGAAGAATGCTTACACATTGAGTTTGAATACGGTAAAAGCAAGTGAGTCTGAAATAACACATGATTAATTATGCATCTCGTATGTTATTCAAGAAGATTAAAGGAAACTTGTTTATGGTAATTAAAATATTATCAGGTATCATTTGAAGGATGTCATTGTTGGCAAAATATATTTTCTTCTAGTGAGAATCAAAATAAAGACCATGGAACTCGAAGTGAGGCGCCGAGAGTCAACTGGATCAGGGGCCAATACATATGTTGAGACAGAGACCCTTTCAAAGTATGAGTTGATGGATGGGGTTCCAGTTCGCGGTATGCGGTCTTCATAGTTCTCTTCATCTTTTGTTTATATATTCTAATCTATACTATGCATGATGCTTGCCTAGTAGTGATTAGTGAAATAGCATCCCTATTCTACTCTGGTAAATAGATATGTTGAGTTTGATTATGCTTTGGAAAACTTGGATGCTTCAAAAATGAATAGTGATTAGTATTAAAGGACGTACAGAAACATACTAAGTACTATTAGATAGTAAAAAAAGTGGAAAAACAAAATAGGAAATAGAAAAAAAAAAAAAAAAGTGCAGTTACCAATCCATTGTTGTCTCCTACATTTTTCTCTTTTAGAATTTTTCTAGGGTATACCAAAGTTCTAAGTGTTTGGTGCATCGATTATTGTTTTTTTGCATGGAAATTGTCTTATACTTTTAATTGAAACAATAATTGGAATACTAGAGTTGAAAGTGATATTCAGGAGGGAATAAAACGGGACTAGATGATGGAGACAAATTGAAAACCTAAGCTATCTTTAGCCAAGGGGGTGTGGCCAAAAAATAAAATTAACTGATTCAAAACACATCATGTTTGTTGAAAATGAGTAAGATCAATACTGGTGTAAGATTTTTAGTGACAATAAATGTCTCGAACTTGTGACACTCTTTCAAGACAAAAAGAAACCATTTTTTTTTGTAGCTATTAATTATTGTAAATGATATTTCAATGGTTTGAAAGACACACTGGCATAAACTAAAATACTTTCAAATTTTAACTAAAATTTTGCAATAGGATTTCAATTCAGGTTATTATTGTCCGTGGTCAAATTTAAAGTGCATTTATATTTCAGTATTTCTTGGTTTTCTGCTTTTGTACAGGGATGCTTGTTTTCTTTATAGTTAAATAGATTGATTAAATATATAATTTAGTCCCTCCTCGAGTATTAAATGTTAAATATTTGGTCTCTAATTGTTACTTTCATTTCTTATTTTGATGAGTAGAGTAAATTTTTAATTTGGTCTCTATATATAATAATATAAAGAACAACTTATGAATGGACTACTTGTACAGGAAGTAAATTAAGGGTGCAATACCAAATCGGTAACGTTTTGCATATTTAAGAACTAATTTAATAAACTTTTATTCAAAGAAAACACATTGAGAATTCATTACATGAATAAATTATATGTTTAATCATATATAGTTGATTCATTTTCTGTCTAAAATCATTATATATTAGTATTGCTGATATTACTTCTTCAGGAGAATCAATTCCTGTGAGATTGTTTCTTGGTCCATATGAATTGACCCCTACATACCACAACATCAACAACAAGTTTAGTGTGAAGTATTTTCTAAATCTTGTTCTTGTGGATGAAGAGGACAGAAGGTACTTCAAGCAACAAGAAATCATAGTATATCGGCAAAGTGAAAACTCTTAAACTTATGCTATGGGACTAGGAATTTGCCTGTTTTTGTCACTATTTGTGAGTGAAAGTTTTCTAATAATTTTATTGTAGTTACTAAAAAGTGAGTAACAGAGTGTTATTCTATTCAAATATGTTCTTTGGTTGGGTTGTTTTTTTAACTTCATGAGTATGTAACTCTTACCATCTCGTATAACAACATCCATCCTGACCCTAATTTTGAGAAGGAACTTGCACTACAAAATGACTTCTAGTAATATCTGCCCTACACTAAAGTGGCGTTTGATCTAGCTTCTTTGAGGGTTCTGAGTAAACACATTTTCTAAAAAGACCTTAAAAATTAAGGACTTCCATTTAAAAATAAAAAATAAAAATATTGTTTCCTTGTGTTACTTTTAAAAAAATTATTTTCTAACTTCAACTACCTCTGTTTCATTTAATTTTTTTTTCAATAATTACTATAGTATAATATTATAAAGAAAGGAAAAAATACGGATAAAATCAAAGCTCATAATACAAAACTAAACTAAACATAGATAAACCAGACTTGTTTCCAGAAAAATTCATATACTAATGTTATCAAGCAGATTATTCTACCAGGTAAAATGACTACAATTTCGACCATATAAAAAATTTCAAAACCCATAATACAAAAGTCAACTAAATCAATACCAAAACCCATATTATAAAGAAAAGAAAGAATGCGTACTTAACCAAAAGCCATAATATCAAAAGTTAACTAAATCTAAGCATAGATAAACTAAACTTATTTATAAAAAATATCCATGCCATTGTTGTTAGAAAGATTATTCTATCAGGTAAAATGACAATATAAAAAGTTTCAAATATAACATTATTATTTTTCAGTAGAATAAGTTTTTCTTCTCACTATGTCTAAATTAATTATTTATTCTTTCTTATTCAAAGTCATATATTTATAAAAAGAATAATAGTTTTTTAATAAAATTATTTAAAAGTGTAATATATTTACTATTATTTTCAGTACATGTACAATAATCTTAAATTATAGTCATACGGAGAGTAAAAATTTTAAGAAAAGTTGTCATAAGATATTATTTATTTTTCAAGGACATCTAGGCTACTATTTATTTATTTATTTCTTTAATATCCAGGATTAAAACTTATATTTTACATGATATAAATGTTATAATTTAATAAAACTCACTTTTAAAAAATATTTTTTTTTAATTATTTTAGACATTTTACTTAGGTTGAAGTATCAATGTAAATATTCTTAATATAAAAAGTGTTATATTTTCACATTAATTCAAACCTGAGACATATTATATAATTATAAAATCAACCGATGCAATATATCCTTATTCACACAAAAGCACAAAATAACTTTTTTTACATCAAAATTTTTATAACAACCAACCTATCACACTACTACAGAATGATCATTCAACGTCGGGTGTGGAAGGCATTCAACGTCGGTTCCAATGACGTCGTTGATTCAGGCGTCGTTGAATGTCAAAGGATTCTACGTCGGTTCAGAATACCCGACGTTGAAAGTGATATATATCTACGTCGGTTAACCAAATGTCCGTCGTAGAAATTAGTAAATTCTACGTCGGTTATTGAACTAACCGACGTTGAAAGTTATATATAGCGACTAAGCCTTCAAACAAAGGTGACCCTCGGGTCCTTTCTTGCTCAAGCGACCGGTGTACTCGCTTGAGCGACGAAGCTTTCAAACAAAGGGGACTCTCGGGTTCTGTATCGCTCAAGCGACCGACGTTACAACGTCGGTTAATGCAATAACCGACGTAGAATATCCTTTTTTTTTAAAAAAAATGTTGGTCTATTTTTGTGCCACCAACAGTACACGACCTGCTATAATCTCAGTCCAGACAGTATATTTATTTCAGTTAATCACTAATATATAAAATGATAGATATATATGTCAAAATCAGCCAAATTATGTACAAAATACACAAAAAATTATCAATCAATCCTATTCCTAACTACTTGTACAAACTTTTCTCGTCCATTTGTTTCTAACCATGTCTATAGTATCCATAGGCAAAGGTTCTATATCTTTAAATGCCTCGTAAGAAGTTCACAATAATAGAATGGTAAACCCTAAGCAATAAAAATAAAGGAATTGAATATAATAGCAAATGTCAACTTACCTCATTCCAACTATCCTGAATGCTACCAAAAATGATGAGTCACATCCAATACATTACATAGTAGTCGCACTCGTATCCTCGCATTTTGTTTGTTACACTAAAAATGACTAAATATGTTAAAAATAACTATTAAATTTGAACATAAATTAATAGATAGTATAATATATATAAAGGCTACTTACTTTGATAAAATTCCAATTTGGAGTTGTGCTTTTACTTGTGTGTTTTCCACCTAATGTACTACAAACCTTTAGAGCACTATATATTGAAAAGAAGGGGGTTAGAAATAGAATAATCAAGATGTTTAGACATAATATAAGAAATACTTACTCGTTTACAATATTTTTTAGCTCCATGTCAGTTTCCTTCCCAATGAGTAGAACCAACACACAAGATTCTCGCTTTGGACAAATAACTAATAGCCGCCAGTGGTTTCGTATATACACATGATTAGAATCTATTAAAAAAACTTGTGTAAAACCGGAAGAGGCTGGGATAACTTACGAATGATGGTATGTTCCAAGGTAAATATCTCTTTTAGAATCAATGATCCAATTCTAAATGTAACCGAGAATTTGATCACGCTTATTCCCGCACTTTTGTATGGATTGAGGCTCGAAGAATCCATACACATGACCAATGCCCCGCTCCACTATCATTTCGTGCATCATCCTAAAATATGCCAATTTAAGTGAACTTATAGCTTATATATTTACTAAAATGAAAAGAGTCATGAAAGATATGAACTTACAATGTCCAAAATTGTAAAACAGACTATATTTAGACATTGATTGCCCATCCCAATCTCCAGTGGCATCGATGTGGGAAATGTATAGGGGGATATTGCTAGAAGCCATCCCAAATAATGTACAATCCCATGGAACTTGGAATGACCGCATATACAATTGTGGGGAAAGAGACAAGAGATCAAAAATTGGATTTGGAGAAGTCTCCACAACCGGTGTCTTCTCCTTAGATCCGAAGGAGTGGTAATAGTTTTACCCAAGTCTTTTGGTCACTGAACATCCTACATATTTTATAAAATATAATCATAAACAATAAATCAATTTATTTATGTGTTAGATGTATTATAACCATACATATACATACCTTTGCCATGATTGACCTAACTAAATGTCGGGGCCAAGTAATGAAGTCCGAAGGGCTTGGCCCACCGTCCGCACCTCTTCGGTGGGGATAGGGACACTAGCCTCAACGTTAACCACCTTTTCAACCACTACTTTGACCAAGTTAGGATCCAAAGGCACATTGTGGATGGTTGAAGCCCCTTCATGAACCGATCCATGGGCCACTAGTCTTAGACCTTCATCTACCTCAACCCACAAGCCATATCGATCATCCTTTGTGGATTCAGGGATGAATAGATGCCACCTCAGGTGTGACCTCGATAGTGGCTTCAAGACAACTGCCCTTTGTGCTAACTCTTGGACCTACAAATACAAGTAAATTCCAATAAGGACTAAGATTTTAGAAACACAAGTCAAGTACCAATTTGTGGTTGAAAATGCACATGATGGAGGACGAACATCAGCAAATGAAGTACCCATGGAGGTCATACGCAGAACCGCTCCCGCACACGTGCGGTGATGGTCTCCTCAAGTCGTGCACCGATGGCGAGGAGTCAACTCTTCCTCCAATTTTGCCCCGATGGCCGGTGTCAATTTCTCTCGTGAGAGTCATCTCCAAGGCAAGCAATATCTTCTTGGCTCGGGGATGTGGAGGTGCGGATATCCCGTGATGGTGGTCCAAAATACCGTCGGACACCCACACCTTGGCCAATAGCTCGAACACGACCTGGATGTTCTGGTCGTCCAATAGCAAGTGGTCAAGATATCCCGACGACCGTAAGGGATGAAAGTTCCCCGTGTACACTGCTCCTCCAAGGCATCCTACATTATAAAAGTTAATTTTATTAATGAACATGTTACATATAACTAATTCAAAGTAAATTAACTTTTTTACTTACAATCCGAGCAGCAATTTCTCGGGCTTCCTGCGATGTCATGTCACCAGAAGGCTTTGTACGAGCCCTCTTCCACTTCGGTGACGTTTTGGAGGAGATGGTGGAAGAATCTCGCTCTTCGCTTAAACCGAAGAGGCTAACTCCGACTGTCGAAGTCTCATCTTCTCCTCCATCATCTTCTTTGTCAATAGGTCGTACCCACCACGAGACGAAGGTGGGGGCGACATTCTGGCTCGAATGTCTTTTGCTTTTTGTCTTCTTTCCTGCAACATAATTGAACACAATATTAGATACACAACTCATTATAAAATGTTCAAGTCAATTAAGCAATTAACATTACCTCCCACTCGAACCAGTCCTACTATGTACAAACTTCTTCCAAGTGTCCTCATCTATGCCATATCTTTGGCAAGGGGTTAATCCCTTCCTAACTTTGTCCTCAACATACACCCATTTAGTGGTCAATGTGGACTTGAACTGCCTCCACATTTTTGCTATGGTCGTCATTATCTTCCTCCTCACATCCTCGGAATTGACTATATCAAAGTGTTCCTACAGTAGCAAACAAGTTTTAGTTAACCAATTGATAATAATGTATAAACAACTAAATACACATACTTACAAGAAGATCTTGCCATAATAAGTTCTTCACAGTTTCCTCCACATGATCCCAATTAGGATGGAGAATATATATCTACACAACATAAACAACATAAGTATCAACAATATATTTGAAATGAAATTCACTTTCAAATAGAATAAATACCTTCTCTCTAGCTAGTGTACCCAAGTAGCTACTAAATTGGGTACTAAAGGGACCCGGCACCTTGCCGGTCCTAGGATCAACAGAACTACGAATAACTTCGGCCAAATATGTGTCTAATGGTCAAGCCTTTCAACCGTGTAGATTGTCGACTCCTCTTACTCGGAAAATGTCTTTCCATATGCCCGAGGAGATGGTGGTGGAGATGGTGGAGATGGTGGAGGAGATGGTGGAGGACATGCCATTTACCCGTAATGAAAAAAACATACAATTATATTAATACACATGCAAAGTCTCCTCAATTACATGTTAAAAAAATAAATAAATAAATAGAAACATAACTTAGATTGT